GGGTGACTTTGAGCCAATCACCAGGAGACTGGGAATTCTAGTCCTGCCTTAGGCATGAAAGCCAGCTGCGTGACTTTGAGCCAATCACCAGGAGCCTGGGAATTCTAGTCCTGCCTTGGGCATGAAAGCCAGCTGGGTGACTCTGAGCCAATCACCAGGAGCCTGGGAATTCTAGTCCTGCCTTGGGCATGAAAGCCAGCTGGGTGACTCTGAGCCAATCACCAGGAGACTGGGAATTCTAGTCCTGCCTCAGGCACTAAAGTTGCTTGGGTGACTTGGGGCCAATAACCAGGAGTCTGGGAGTTCTAGTCCCACCTTAGGCAGGAAGGTCATCTGGGTGATTTTGGGCTACCTCCATTCTCTCACACTCCAACCCACTTCACAGTGGGGAAAACAAACCTTTGGTCTACAACATAATGCATGTCGTAATACTGAGTTATATCATTCAGAATAACACCGCTGAAAGAGACCCATGACTTCTTGTTCTGTTTTGGGGTGCTATGGGGAATAAATCGAGGGCCTTTTCCCGCACAGCCTTTTAAGTGGTATTAGGCGTTATCAGGTCTTAGGGAAGCCTTAACAAAATAACAGAGGTGGGAGGGGAATTGGAAGTCATCTAGTCCAACTCCTCTCCCCAAGCATCCAGAGCCATCTCTCCGGGCACATAAGCCGTCACCCGTTGCTCTTCTGGGTTCCGGCGTGCCAGCTAGCTGGTCATCATGTGCCCCAGGAAAAATCATCTGATGAAGGTGCGCATGTGCGCACTGGGAACACAACCTTCCAGTTTCTGGCACGCACATGCTCACCGGCCACCTGGTCTTTGCGTGCACATGATTGCCAGAAAGCGGAAGAGCAGCCGCCTGGGGTGCATGCATGCGCCAGAAAGATGATTTTCTGGTTTCCTGTGCGCGAAGACCAGGTGGCAAGTGAGAATGCGCGTGCCAGAAACCGGAAGATCATCTTCATGGGGCATACATGCGCACCAGGCAGCTGCACGCACACACTTCTGTTTCGGCACTGAAAAGGTTCGCCAACATTGCCCTATAGCATGTCAGACCAATGGTCGTCCAATCTCTTCTTAAAAACCTCCAATGCTGGAGCACCCACGACTTCTGGTGGCAAGTCGTTCCACTGGCTAATTGTCCTCGCCACCAGGAAATTTATCCTTAATTCTGTTCTTTCTTTCGTTTCATTTGTAATTTTTTTCATGCCCCCCCCACCCCTACCCCAAGTGAAGCATAATATAAAGGTAGGACTTGTTTATAAAGCGGGTGGTAAGATTTTTTCCGAGCAGATGTTTTGTTTTTAGATTTCAGGCAGCAAATGAAGCCGCTGTAAAATCTGTATAACGATGCGAAGGATGGCGCTTCCTTCGCTCTTCTCCTTTCTATCTGCTTCTATCCCTGAAATCAATCCCTTGCAGGGGGGGGGGGGAATAGAAGAAAAAGAAAGGCACTAAACAGGCAAGAAGCTTCGTGGAAATTGCACAGTGCCCAGGGGGGGGCCCTTCGCTTTGAGTTAAACGGAAGGAGACTACAATCCGTTACTGCCACCTAGTGCTGCCGAGAACACGTAGTAAAAGGATAGTAGTGCTCCTCGGAAAAACGAGAAGCGTGGATTGGGGGGGAGCTACAATGAGGAGGAACAATGGAAGTTTTTAAAAAATGGTGCTAAACCTTTAAGAGTTACTTTGGAAGGTCTTTTATCTACTGTATTTTTTTGACTATAAGACGCACCGGTGTATAAGACGCACCAGGATTTCGAGGAGGTACCGTATTTTTCAGAGTATAAGAGGCACCTTTTCCCCTCAAAAAAGAGGCTGAAAATCTGGGTGAGTCCTATACACTGAGCACAGCATTTTCTGGCCTCCCGAAACCCCGCCCCCTTCACCAAAATGGCTGTGCATAGCCTCATGGAGGCTTTCAGAGAGCTCCTGCGGGCTGGGGAGGGCAAAAATGATTAAAAAAAGGGCTGTTTTTATACTCAATTTTGCCCTCCCCCAGCCCCCAGGAGCACCC